TATAATAGGTCCTAAAATCAGGTAGTGTAAGGCCTCCCACTTTGTCCAAGATTATTCTAACGTGTGGTCGGCAGAGGAAGCATTCGACTGGGCGAGCCCTGAGGATCTGGGCTTACCCGGGAAGGGCTGGTGGGTGACCAGGCCAGGCAAAGCTTTTGAACAGGTTGTCAGGCCCAGGGAAAAGAAGACCCCACCTGAGCCATACCTGGACAGGCCCTGTCTCGACGCCTGTCTCTCTGCTCTTTCAGAATGCCAGACCCGGGCCCAGAAGCCTCGCCGCTGTCTGACCCTGTGCAAGCCCGAGAAGGTGACCCCACCCCCAGACCAGAAAGGAGGGAACGCAGAGGCGACCACCACCCCTCTAAGATGCGCCAACTCCGGCGGACAGCCCAAGGCTGCACCATCTTCACCTCGGGGTGGAGAGAACAGAGGAAGAGCCCAGCTGACAGTGCTGGATATGGCTGAGGACGGCGCCCACCGTGGCCTCGCAAGTTGGTGGCTCTAGTCATTCATTTATACTCTCCTCCCTGGGCACCTGCTCTGTCCCCAGCACAGGATCGTGCTGAGGACACGGCAGTGAACAAGGTGGACACTGTCACTTCACGATGCCCGTGGCCTCTTTTCCAATTTTCTTTTCATTTTCAGCTCTGGTCTGGGTGTAAGGGTAAGACAGGACCAGTGTCACCTTCGTGTGTAGACATCAAGTCACAGAATGGGGAAGGAGGCCAGGGCCTCCTCATAGGCAGACAGTCTCTCGAGCACCAGCTTGGAGAGCGGTAAGGATGAAGCCAGCAGACAGTGAGAGGAGAAAGAGGGCAGTTTGCACGCAGGGCCTGGCCTCATACTGGCTGAGAGACCTCCAGTCAGGCTTGTCCTCCATTTGTTCATCCTGCTGCGACTCCTGAGCATCTCCTCAGTGTCAGGCCACATGCAGGTGCTGGCAACACAGCAGTGACCAAGATCACAGCCAGTGAAGAAGCCACACCACGAGATACTAAGAGTGCAGAGGGACCCAGACTCGCTGGGGGGCCCAGAGGAGGCACCTGAGCCAGCCCAGGGTCACGGAGGGCTTTCTTGCTCGTCCTGCTAGCTGTGTGGCCTGATAGCTCAGTGCCTCAGTTTACCTATCTGTAAAATGGGGTAATAGTCCCCTTGGGCAAAGGGTTACTGAATAATATGTAAAATGCTCAAAACAGCTTGCTGTCAGCCTTGTCAGCGTCACCATAATTCCATCTTGGATTTTACCTTCATTGTAGCTTCTGATAAGGGTATGGGGTTTAGGAACCCCCGGTGTGAGTGGGAGGCCTGCAGAGGCCTCGAAGCCTGAGGCTTTGGCCAGGATGAGGGAAGGGAATGGCTGTGGCAGACCCTGGCACCTCTCCGTCCCCTGCATCTGGGAGCCCTGGAATTTGTTCCAATCCGCGGAGTGACCATCCTGATTCGCCCCTCAGGCTGCTGTTATGGAAACAGTGTCCAAGATGATGAGCCTTACCCTGCCCTTGGGGTCCAGAAAGATGCTGAGAAGGTCCATTTTCTCATCAGGACACAGCCCTGTCCCAGGTAAGGGAACTCCAAGGGCACTGAGTTGGGGGCTGAGGCGTGTGGTTGGAGTGGCTGAGGGAGGGGTGCCGAGAACGGTGTACAGCCTCTGCTGGTACCCCCTCAGCACCGTGGGCACCACAGGAAAGCCTGATTTTCTCTCCACCGGACACAGCAGCAGGCTCCTCACGGGCCTCCCTGCCTCCTGCCCCACCCCTCCAGCCCGTCCTCACCAGTTGACAGAGCAGCTTTCCAAACACACAGACCTTAACCCTTTAGTCCTTTGCTCCAAACCCTTCCTTGGTGCCTGTAGGGGAGAGCGCGAACATCTTCGCTGGCATTTGAGCCCCTTCTCTGGCCCCCACTCACCCTGCCAGCCCTCTCTCTGCCCTTCCCCCATGAATCTTACACTCAAGTACTCACCATTCCCCAAAGGAGCCGGCCCCTCTTCCCAGAGTGCCTGCTCCCCTTGTCTACCTGGAAAACTTTCCCCAGTGTGGTGCTCTCTGCCTGCCCTGCCAGGCCACTCCCTGAACCCCTCCCTCCGTCACAGCGGTGCCCTTATGTTGTCGCTGTTTACGTGCTATCTCTCCTCACAAGACTTGAAACTCCTCGAGGGCGGAGCCTCAGCCCACTGAGCTTCCTGCCCCAGCGCCCACGCAGGGGCCAGCACCGAGGAAATCCATGTCTGACCTCTTGGTTGGCAGCACTGGGGCTCCTGGAGGGAAACGACTCACGGGGTCACACAGCACCTCCCATCCCAGGGCTCTGGCTCTGCCTCTTGAATTCCACCTCTTGCAGGCAGAAGCTGGTGTTCTACGATTCCAGCGAGGAGGTGGACAAGGAGTCCCCCGATGCTGACCCTTGGCTTCCTGCCTGGACCCCAGAGGGCAGCCCCCATGGTGATTGAAACTCTCTCCTCAATGTAGGCTGGTGTGGGGCCTTCTTGGTACATTCCTTCTGAGGATTTCTATGGAAGGGGGGAAAGAGGGAAAGTGAGTGGAAATCCACTAAGCACCAAAACTCGTTGTCATCGAGTTGATTCTGACTCATAGCGACCCTGTAGGACAGAGCAGAACTGCCCCATAGGGTTTCCAAGGAGAGGCTGGTGGATTTGAACTGCCAACCTGTTGGTTAGCAGCCGTATCACCTAACCACTGCGCCACCAGAGCTCCCTGCTAAGCACAAGGATGGCAAATACACAGTATGCCTGCCATCACTTCTCCATCTTTGCCTGTGGCAGACGTTACTAATCAATCATCACTCTGTTGAGCACAGATGCCACTTCAGAATCTTTTTTTTTAATTTATTTTTTTATTGTACTTTAGATGAAGGTTTACAGAACAAATAGTTTCTCATTAAACAGTTAGTGCACATACTGCCCGATGACAATGGTTAACAACCCCACAACATGTCAACACTGTCCCTTCTCAACCTTGGGTTCCCTATCACCAGCTTTCCTGCCCCCTCCTGCCTTCTAGTCCTTGTCCCTGAACTGCTGTGCCTCATTAGTCCCGTTTTGTTTTATGGGCTGTCCAGTCCCCGGCTGAACGGTGAACCTCGGGAGTGACTTCACCAGTGAGCTATCATAATCTTTCTTAACACGGAGCTCCAGGAAGCTGCGGTCAGATGGTCAGATCTGGCACATTATGATTTTTGTTTGTTTGTTTGTTTGTTTCCATGCATAGTGCCAGGCTTCATGCTTCTTAAGTTCCTCTCCCAAGAAGTCCCTGGATAGCGCAGACAGTTAAGTGCTTGACTACTGGCTGAAAGGTCAGTTCGAGTCCACCCGGAGGCACCTTGGAAGAGAGGCCTGGTGATCTGCTTCTGAAAGGTCACAGCCTTGAAAACCCTATGGAGCAGTTCTACGCTGCACACAGGGGGTCGCCCTGATTCAGAATTGACTTGACAGCAACAGCTAACAACAATAACAGAATGGGGATGATAATAACAATAAAGTGGATGATGCCGATAATTTCCTCTCCCAAGCACTGAAAACGAGGAACTGACAGTCTCCTTTTCCCGTGTCTGGCACCATCTCCTTAAGCCAGCTGCTGTGTTGGGGACAAGGGACTCTCTGGCCACACCTCTGAGCCAGATATTTCCTTTTCAGAGAGCCCGCTGGCCTTGGGGTCTCCCCAGATCGGGAGCTGGAGTGCCAAGGGCCACTCGAGCGAAATCCTGGGGCTCAGCCCTTCCCTCTTCAGCTCCCCGGGGAGGCTGCTGCCGGAGCAGCTCCTGGAGGATGGTGCAGTGTGTCTGACCCAAGGTGAGCAGTCAGAGCTGGGCCCAAGGCTCCGGGCATCTGATTCCCAGAGGTGAGCCTGACCGGCCCTGACACAGAGCTCCCAGCCCCACGCCCCACAATCACAGGCCAGTGGGGTGAGTGTCCTGACAAGGGGACGCCAGGAAGGCTGTGGGAGCCAGAGCAGGGAGCCGCCCGCTCTGCCCAAGGTGTTGGACACGCCCCAGAGAAGCTGGCCTGTAAGCAGGATTGGGACATTGAGTAGGAGATCCCAAAGCAGGAAACCAAGGAGGGGCACCCTGGCCAGCAGGGATGGTGGGCACAGGGGTGGTGCCGCGAGAGAAACACTTCGGTTCTAGCAGCTCCTCTGGTCCTCCTCCCTGACAGCTCTCTTTGAAGAAGTGTACTTCGGCCCTGAGTCCCCACTTTCTGCCTGCAAGTCTGAAGCACCAGAGAACAAGGTACGCGTTGACCTGCTCGTCTGTCCACGGAGACATCCATCCTTCTGTCCACACACGTTCCTCACCTGCTCGCTTCACCCCTCTGTCCCCTCAACCCTTCGGCCACCTTCCACCCATGCACTCCCCCATCCATCACTCAGGGGTCCACTCATCCTTCCAGAATTCATCCACCCTCTGACTCGCTCATCTGCCTGTGCTCTGAGCATCACCCGGTGCCTGCTCTGTGCTGGGCACCTGGAAGGAATCAGATGAACGTGATAAAAGATGAAAGCTGTCGACCAACTAACCAACCAGTTGCCATCAAGTTGAGTCTGACTCATGGCAACCCCATGTGTGTCAGAGTAGAACTGTGCTCCGCAGGATTTTCAATGGCTGATTTTTTCTGAAGCAGATTGCCAGGGCTTTCTTTTGAGGTGCCTCTGGGAAGAATCAAACCACTAACTCTTTGGTTAACAGCCAAGCTCTTAACCATTTGTGCCCCAGGGACACCCTATGAAATATCTAGAACAGGTAAATGCATAGAGTAAAAAGTAGATTCGTGGTTACCAGGGGCTGGGGGAAGGAGAGAGTGGAGAATTACTGCTTAAAAAGAAAGAAAAGAATTTCAGCACCATTAAAATAAACAAATAAATAAAAACAGTATGTTTAAAACTAACATGATTAGCACAACTAGCACCCAGTTCTTGGTTTCTAAAAATCATTAAAAAGAAGAAGAAAAGAAATATCGCCCCAGATTAGGAGGCAGAAGACCTGATCCCAATCCAACCCCTTTCTGATTTCCTAAGAGACATTCAGAACATCTGCTTGAATGTCTGAGGGGCTGTTTGGATGAGACTGTTTTTTTAATTATTATTATTGTGGTGAAAATGTACACAACAAGACATAAGCCATCTCAACAATTACTACATGTGTAATTCCGTGACATTGGTTACATTCTTCAAGTTGCGCAACCTTTCTTGCTATCCTTTTCCAAATCATTCCACCTCCATTAACATAACCTCAATGCCCCCTAAGCAATAGCTTCCCCTTTCCCCTCCCTCCCACCCCTGCTAACCACTGACAATCTTTGGTTTCTATGTGTTTGATTATTTCATATAAGTGAGATCATACAGCATTTGTCCTTTTGCGACTGACCTATTTCATGCAGCACGATGTTTTCTAGATTTATCCATGTTGTGGCGTGCATTGGGACTTCATTTCTCTTTACTACTGGGTAATATTCCATCGTGTGTATACACCACATTTTGTTTAGAGATTGTCTTTAATCAGAGCTGTTTCTAATGCTAACATCATGTCCCCAGAAAGGTTGCGGATGGGGGCATGAAGGGACACCTTTATCTCCACTCACGTCCCCTCTCATATTTCTCCTTTGTCCCAGGACACCCTAGCTGAGGCCCCGAGAGACCCAACTGACGCCCACAGCCTTTTCCAGTCCTCCGTCTCGCTCGACCACTGCTACCTCTCCCTAAGCGAGACCAGCCCAGGCTCTGGGACCACCGAGACCGAGTCCCCTTGGAAGCAGCAAGGGGTAAGAGGAGGTAGCTTCTGTTGAGGTTGTTCCCCATCTCCCACCCTCTCTCACCTCTCCCTGCTCCCCCCGCAGGACGCCCAGGCTGACCCCGAGGAGGATGTGCCGTCCTCCAGTGAGGAAGATGGTGACTACACCTGGACCCCCACCCGGCGGGCCTCGGTGCTGCCCCCCGGAGGGAGGAAGGCCAAGAAGGGCCGGGCATCCAGGGCCCCTGTGAAGCCCAAGGAGAGCAAGAAAGTCCCCTGCCCCACCCAGATCAAGAAAAAGTGTGTCAACGGCTTCATCATGTTCTGCAGGATGAATCGGAAGCAGTACATCCGGTGAGCAGGGAGCCCCCTCTGCCCCTGGGCAGGGCCCTGACTTTGTCGTCTGCCCCACCCCCCACCACATTGCATCCCACTGCTGTCTGACTCACAGGCCTCCCCAGGAAGGCCCCACCAGCTGTCCTCACTCCCAGTTCTCCAGAATGTAACCTGGTCCCATTGCATTGGTCAGAACCTTTCCACTGTAAGCAAGGAAGCCAAACTCAGACTTCAGAGGAAAAGGACATTAATTTGCTTATATAACCTAAAAAAAGGGGGGCGTGAGCTGTCGATGGCCTTCAGACACGGTTGGTTCTGGGCACTCAGACAGGGCTGTCTAGAATCTGGCTTCATGCTCAGGCTTAGGTTTGGTGCCCGGTTGGGGGCTGAGGCTTCCATCCTACCCACCACTCTAGCAACCCAGGTGAAAGGAGAGCTCCTCATGGCTAAGGCTTCAAGCAGAAGTCCTTCAGGTTGACTTGAATTGGATCAGATGCCCAGCCCTGAACCAGGCATGGCCAGGCCTGGATCCAGGGGGTTGGAGACATCTCCAAGCCAGCAACAGGAGAGAGGAGCTGTTCCCTTACACAGAAATCCAGGTGCTGGCACCAAGAAGGATCCCTGGATGGTGCCAACGGTTAATATGCTTGGCTACTAACCAAAAGGTTGGAGGTTCATGTCCACCCAGAGGCACCTTGGAAGAAAGTCCTGGTGATCATCTTCTGAAAAATCAGCCATTGAAAACCTCTGGAGCTCAGTTCTACTCTGACACATATGAGGTCACCATGAGTTGAAATCTACACCACGGCAATTGGTTTTATATTCTTTCATGAATTCAACAAATATTCAGCTGTGCCAGGCGCTTCACAGGAACTGTCTCCTTTAATCCTTACAACCACACCATGGCAGAGGTGCTATTAGGATGCCCATTTTACAGCTGAGGAAGCTGAGGCCCAGAGCGGTTGTTCAGGGTCACACAGCCTGTACGGGCGGAACTGGGATTCTGAACCCAGGCAGTCTGGCTCTAGAATCTGTGGTCTGGATCATACTATAAAAGCATAAAAATGAACAAGATAAACAAGAAAAGTATAACGCATGGTAGATGGTTTAGGAGCCCCTGGCAGGTACAAACGGTTAATGTGCTTGGCTAGTAACTAAAAGGTTGGAGGTTCAAGTTCTCTCAGAGGCACTTTGGAAGAAAGGCCTGGTGATCTGTTTCCAAAAAATCGGCCACTGAAAACCCCAAAGAGCACAGTTCTACTCTGACACACATGGGGTCGCCATGAGCCAGCGACGACTCGACTGGCAATGATTTTTTGGTTTTGGTACCAGGAGAGGGGTGGAGGCAGGCCCCCTGCACTCTGTCTCGGGACCCGGGGCATTCCGTTTGAGCAGACAGTTACTCCACGTCTTTCGTTGCTTTCCGCGCTCCAGTGAGTGCCTAACGACGGAGGCCTTTCAGGCCAAAAGGGATAGGAAAGATTTGAGTTCTTAGGTGGGAAAACCGAGGCTCGGAAGGGGCGAGGGACCCTTCTGTGGTCTCACTGTTGCCTCCGCCCAAGCCAGGCTGCTCTGCAGACTTCTCCTCACTCCTCCTCTCCCTGTCCCAGAGCCTGTCCCGGGACCGCGTCCACAGCTGCCACCAAGGAGCTGGCCCAGCTCTGGCGGATGATGACCCAGCAGGAACGGAAGCCATACTGGTGAGAAGCCCCTGCCCAAGGGCGTGGGGGCGGAGAGGGGGGTGCGGCGAGTCCGGAAGGCCTTCCCTGATGCGTAATCCTGCTCATCTTCCAGAGCCTCGAGCTGCGGGGCCTTGGGAACAGGTTGGTAGTTCACTAGGGTGGGGGATTTGTGCGTCGCAGATTTTTAGGAAGGATTTGGGGGTGATCGATGAAGAGGTGTCTTACCCTGTAGCTTCCTTCCGAATTCGGATCTTCTGCCACGGGGAGTTTCTTCTCATGGTCTTATTTCCCTCTTGCTCGGCCTTTTTCTTCCTTCCTCCTCTTGACCCCCTCCACCCTCTTCTGTCCGCCAACTTCAAAGAGCTGCCACCTGCCCTTTTCAGCTCAGTCCCTGAAACACATGGGCGCGTGCGTGATTTGTCACAGGCCCTCAAAGGCGTGTGGGAGCCCAGCGGTGAGCTGAGGCCCATTTTACAGACCTGGACTTGGAAACTCAGAGCCTCCTGTAGGATGGCTAACACCCTGGCCTCCCCCGCAGCCCAGGCCCTGGTCTCCGTTGGGGACGGAGCGGGGGTGGGTGGGCCTGAGCTACCCGGGAGGTGAGTGAGGCCCCGTCTCCCCCCAGCATCAAGGCGCGCAGGTTCAGCCGCCAGCACAACCGCATCGTGAAGCAGGAGAGCTCCAGCAGCGAGGACGACGACTGGGAGCCGCCCAAGCCCTTCTACCAGCTGCTGGCCGAGAAGGCCCGCTCGTCCCCGGAGCCGGCGGCTCTGCCTCCTCCTCGCCAGTGAGGGCTGGCGGCCCCCCTCCGCCCTCGCCTCCTGGCAGCTCCGCAGTCTAGTCTGAAGCCGGGAGCGGCGAGGGGGAGGTCCCCTGGCCTCGGCCCTGTTAACGTGGCCGTATTTACTGACCCCGCTTTGTGTGTTCGCGTTGTAAGGCTGCCTTGGGCAGCCCCTCTTCTCCCGTCTGGCTTGTCAGAGGCCCCTCAGGGTGGGGAAGGAGCCCGAATGAAATGCAGAGAGGTGAAGTAGATGTGGAGAGTCACCTCTGCCCTTCTCCCCCCCACCCCAGAATCAAATGGTTTCCACCCAGTTCACCTTCCCCACCACCACTGTTCTATTTATAATTTATTGTTTTAAACAAAATAAAGCAAGTGGAACCCTTGTTACTAGCAAGGGAGACAACTCCAGGCTCTCCCGCCTCACCCCGTCCCGTCCCCATCCCCGTCCCCATCGCACTGGGGCATCCTTCCCCACAGATCCGCGGCCCCTCCGCCCTCCCAGCCCACACCTTCCCCAGCGGCATTCCCACTCAGGAAGCGGAGATCAGAGGGCCCCAACCTCAAACCCGGCTTTCTGTTGTTCAGTTCTCCTTTGGGCAAGTTGTTTGGAAGCTAACCCACACCCTTGATGGTTCTAATTGTCTGTTACTTTTTTATTGAAACGGAGGCATAACATGTCCTAGAAAAATAAAGATTTAGGATACAAACGACATGGGGAGGCAGGGGCCAGGGTTGTCCCTGGGGGCGGATGAGGGGCTCTTTGGTCTGGGGCTGGACGTGAGGGTGAGGGGAAGACCGGCACCCCTGCGAACCTTTGCAGAAGTGCCGGGCTGGGGAGGGTCTGCCCGTCCTGCCCTCCAAGTTCCATGAGTTCCACGCAGTTCTGAGGACAGTGGATAACAGTGGAGCTATTAATAGTGTGTTAGGCAGTGACAGGGAGACGGCTCAAGGGGGCTGGAAGTCCAGCCATTTGGCAGGGTCTTCAGCTCACAGCTAGTACCAGGTCGAGGGGGGCAGAGCCCCTGAGTCAAGACCCCCACTCCTCATATGTGTGGGGGGCACAGCAAGGAGAGGGCTGTAACAGAAGGCCTCCCCATCCAGAGGGGGTACAGGGCTGAGTCCCTGGTGGGGCTGCGCCTGTTCGGAGGGGTGTAGTGTGTGGCATCTTCGACTGCAGCAGTTGTGTTTCTGGGAGGTTCCCGGCTCCTGGGCCTGCCCCAGGTCTTTGAGCACCATTGTCAGGAGAGGGGATGAGGGCAGGCTGGGTCACAGTTCCAAGGGCTCTTCCACGGGCACTGACTGCAGCTGGGTCAGGACCTTGGCCTCGGCTTCCAGCCCCTCATCCACCTCGCCCCCTGCTGTGGACCCCAGGAGCAGCCCCTCAGGCTCGGGGTCTGGCAGCCTCAGCACAGTGTGGGGGGCCTGTGTTGCCAGCCCCTTCTCCACTTCAAGCAGCCCCTCTGTTCCTGTGCTCAGTTCCAGCCCCGCTGGCCACACGGGCACTGCGGCGGGAGACAGCATCAGCCCCTCTGGCGGAGGGGGTGCTGGGAAGTTGGGCAGGAGACCGGGGGAGTCTGGGGAGAAGGGGAGACCTGTAGCGGCGGTGGCAACCGCGGTGGTGGTGGCAGCAGGAGGTGGTGGCTGCGGTGGCTGCGGTGGTGGCTGCTGTACAGAAAGAGTGCCTAGGGCGTGGGTCTCCGGCAGAGCGGGGCTGGGCGCCACAGGGAGGGCTCCTTCGGGCACTGAGAGGGCCGTGTCTGGCTTCAGGGGCAGGGCCAAGCTGGGGGCAGGTGGCAGGACCTGGGAGACCAGCATGCTGGTGGGGAAGGTGGCAGTGAGGATGATCTTGCCCTGCTGCACGGCCACACCTGTCACGATGGGGCTGCCAGACACAGGGTTTGCCAGGAGGAAGTTTCCTGTGGGGAAGATGGGCCAAGCACTGTTAGAGATGGGGGCCACTGGCCTGGGACAGAGGTAGGGGCAGTCCTGATGGAGGTGAGCCAGAGGCAAAATGGAACCCCTTTGGGGTGGGGCCCAGGCTATGTGGCTTGAGCCTCAGGGTCCTGCACAGGACCCCACTTTTTCATGCCACGGATGAGACACCCCCAGAAACCCACTGATACCCTGACCTCCCCCTCTGAGATAACCATGTCCCCCACCCAGCTCTCACCCAGAGAGAGGCAGAAGGGGGTACCTGGAGTCGTGGCTGAAGGCAGCTGCAGGGTGGTCACACCCACCCCAGAGTTTATCAGGTGCACGTTGGCAGGGCCCGCTGTAGCTGCCACCTTCACGGGGCTGCCTGGCCCAGCTGCCAACAGCTGCAGTGGCCCCACAGCCTGGGGCAGGGTCACCACCTGTGAGGTGGGCACCACCTGAGGCAGGTTCAACAGTGGGGAGGTGGGGCCCAGGCCTGCGGGGTACCCAGGCGGTGGGGAGAGTGGCACCACCTGTGGAGCAGCCACTGTAGGCACCGGTCCCGGTGGCAGGGGAAAGGTGGCAGCTGATGGGGGGCCAGGCACCACCTGGGGCAGGGGCCCTGAGGTCTCCTCGCCAGCCGGCCCCGATGTAGCCACCTGGGCTCCCTTGGTCTCAGGGGCCTCAGGCTGCGTCTCCTCCAGCCGAACCTCCCCGGTCTGAGGGTCCAGGACCAGGGAGGTCTTGGCCTCACTGGCCCCCTGGGGACTGGGATGCGGTGGAGGGGCACCCCCACCCGCTGTGAGTAGCAGGGGGCCCAGGCTGGAGGCCTCACCCAGGGCCAGGCTATTGATGATGACGGGGCTCCCATTGAGGAGCACTGCTGGAGAGCTGCCAGCAGCCAGAAAGCTCCCGTTCACCAGGATGGAGGAGGAGGCAGGGCAGGGCGCCGGAGGGGTGGCCCCAGCCAGGAATATGGAGCCCTGGGCCGGGGCCTCCGCAGCCACTGAGGCCACCCCCCTCTCCAAGTCTTCGGGACTCCGGCTGGACTCGTCCTCGGTGGTGGGGTTCCCATCAGACTCGCTGGTGGAGAGAAGATGGTAAGCTGTGGTCCTAAACTCTGTGTCCCCCATGGACCAGCCTGACTTCTCCACAGAGGCCCCTCTACCTTTCCCAGGTGGAGCTCCTGGGTACTTTAGGATGGTTAATGGAACCTCCTCTCTGAGACCACCCCAAAGACCCCAGAGACAGAGCTTCCGCAAACCCTACATTGACACCACCACAAAATAACCTAAAACTTGATGAGCCTGGAGGGAGAGGCCCTCCTTTCCTAGCCCCTTGGCCTCCAGGCCCCAGAGGCTGGGCACCACGGCTGCCTGGGTGTTTCCTGGGCCAGACTGTAAGCCGCGAGTGATTTCGGAGAGTAAGCCAGGAGGTGGCCGCTGCTCAGTTCCCGGTGCCCTCCCCCGGGGAGGCAGAGAAGAGAGTGAGAGGCCGGCCGCCCTGGGTGGGAGGGGAAGGGCTTGGGTTACAGGGAAACCGGAGCTGGGGAAGGTTCACGTTTCACAACAAAGACAGGCGACAGACCACGCTGTTTGGGCCCCGAGGGGGTGTGGGGGTGTGTGGGGCAAAGTAACGGTCAGGGACGGCCTGGCAGTCTGAAAGAAGTCCCTCCTGGGGGTGGGGTGAACAAAGGTCCTCCTTTCCCGAGGCCCCTTCAGAGGCCCCACTTTCTCAATGTCTCCCGAATCTAGCCTCGCCTCGAACAAGGATGGAGCTAGGGAAGAGGTCTAGTCTCTGCGCAAGATGCAGTGATGTCCAGGGGGAGAAGGCCCGGGGCGTGTGCCTGTCTGACCCGCGCTTTCCCCCTGCGCTCCCGGGCGCACCAGGGGGTGAGCGTGAGGTGTCCGCGGAGGTCGGCGCGCTGACTCCAGCACTGGGCCTGGGCGTGGGGGTATCGGCTGGTGAACAGAACATCCTGGGCAAGCAGGGCTCGCGCCGCCCGGGCTCCCTCACCTCTTGCAGGGCGCGCCGCCGCCGCCCCCGGTCCGGTCGCGCTGTCGCCGGTTTTTGAACCAATTGCTGACCTGCGTGAGCGAGAGGCCGGTGAGCGTGGCCAGGCGGCGCTTCTCGTCGGGCGTGGGGTAGCGGTTGCCGCGATAGCAGGCCTTGAGCGCGGCGCGGGAGCGCTCCTTGAAGCAGTACACAGTCTCCTCGCCGTCCCAGATGGTCTTGGGCAGCGGGAACTTCTTGCGCAGCCGGTACTTGTCCACCGCGCCCAGTGCGCGGCCGCGGGCCCGCTCGGCCTCGTGGTAGCGCGCGCGCAGGTAAAGGTCCTGCAGGAAGGCGTGGTGGGCGGCAGGGAAGGGGCGGCTCTCGAGCAGCCGGTAGAGCTCGGCGTACTCGCCCCGCTGGAAGGCCACCAGGGCCCGCGCGCGCAGCACCGGATCGCTGCCACGTAGGCGCTCGGCCGGGGGCAGCGCGCCCAGGAAGCGGCTCAAGCGGCCGGCGTGGCCTGCCTGGAGCAGCGCCTCACACACGCACGCCACCTGCTCGGGCGAGAAGCGGAGGCCCGTGGGCGGCTCGGCAGCGGCCTCGGAGGGCGACCCGGGGACGCCCGGGGACCCTGGGCCCTCCGCTCCCGCCGCCGCTTCGCCCGCCCTGGTCCCGGCCGCTGCCGCCGCCTCACCCTCGGCCGCCTGCAAAGTCTGCAGGAGCTGGCGCGCTTCCTCCTCCTCCTCCTCAGTTGCCGCTGCCGCAGCCTCCCCTCCGGCCGCTGGCCCTGCGCTCGGCTCCGCAGGCAAGGTAGCCATGTTTTGTAACTTTGGGAAGTTCCTCCCCCCTTCTCCTCCTCCCTCGGGCTTCCCCCGGCCCCCTCCCCCGCCCGGCTCCCCTCTCCACCCCCCTTCGCGCTTCCCGATCTTCTCCCCCGGCCGTCCCCGCGCCCCCCGCCCAGTGCCAGGCCAACTCTCCCACTCAGGTCTCTGTCCCTACGTCTGTGTGTGTTCGTCCCCTCCCAGTCTGTCCGTGATTCTTTGTTTTCCCTCCGCCTCTGGCCGCGCTTTTTGCCTCCCCCCGCGTGTGCCTCTGGCTCAGGGCCTCAATTTCCCCATTGGGACAACGGAGAGGGTCACGGGCCGTCCGAGAGGACTAAGGGCGCGAAGCCACCTCCACCCCGAGACTAAGCTACAGCACGCCTCCGTCCCCAGGGTCCTCGGGAGGCCCCCCACTCCCCATCTCAGCCTGCGCTCCGCCCCTCGGAATTCCCGGCGCTGCAGGGGGGGCGGGTCTGGATGGGAGGAGGGCGGGGGAAGCGGGCGAGAAAGTTTGCAGCAACTTTTCGCGAGCGTAAGTCCCGGAGCGGATGGGCCTGGCCCGCGCAGGCGCAGTGTACAGGATGACCGCGCGCGCTGCTGGCCCAGCCCCCTTCTCCCGGCCGTGAAAACCAGGGGCATCACAGCTGGGCCACAGCTGGAAGGTGGGCGGTGGGCCCGCTCGCTCTCTCCTATTGGCCGAACACTGAAGCCCCGCCCCTCAGCTTTTCCTCTCCCCCGGGTCTGATACGTCTGCTTCTCGTCCCCGTCAGGCCATTGGTCGGTCCCACTCGCCTTCTGATTGGCCCGCTGAGCAGCCTCCCGCCCACAATGCAAACAGAGCAGACGCTGCGGAGTTCGGAGTTTTGGGCAGACGAGGGCCTTTTATTCGCGAGGGTCGGGGGTGGGGGCCTAGGTGGGGAGAGACAATAAATACCGAGGAATGTAGGGGGTCTCAGTGCGTCCAAAACGTGGATTAGGGTGTTGGGGTCTTGGAGCCTGTAGGTGGGTTGGAGGACAAAGTCAATAAATACCCAAACCGCCAAGCCGACGAGCCAGCCTGGCTCCGGGAGCAGCGCACGTGAGGAGGGGGCGCAGGAGTCCCTGAAAAAGCGGGGCCGGCAAAAGCAAAAGGGTCCCAAGACAGCGAGCGGAGCTCGCACCGGGCGCCGGAAGTCGCCCATTCCCGGGAGAGTAGGGTCTGGTGCACAAGGAGAGTGGTTTGCGAGCCGATGGTGGGTGGGGGTGCGTGGAGGGTGAAGAACGGCCGGCCGAGCCCCAGCCCTGCTGCCTTCTCTGCACCTCAATTTTCCATCCACGTGAGGCCCTCAGCACGGCCGGAGGCGGTCCGCGATGCCCAACAGCAGCGAGAATATTCCGGCTACAACCTCCCCGGGAGCCCCGTTCTTCGGCCGTGGACCTGGCTCCTCCCTCCCCGGCCGCCAGGGGGCTGGTCCGGATCACAGGGTTGACCCTGGGGCGGAGACCCGCGCTCCGAGTGATGTGCGCGGGGAGGTGGTGGGAGCGGCTTCTGGGCGGTGCCGGGGTCACCCAACCCCCCAGCGGGGCCCGAATGGAGGACAGACTGGGGTTCTAGGGTTCAGGGGGCGAAGGTGGCTCCGGGGCGGCGCCTGGCTGGGGCGAGACGGCTGGCGCGGGCCACCAACCCAGTGCCGCCCAGGGCGGCGGCATGAGCCAGAGCAGCGGCGAGCACGAGCAGGGAACGCGCCTCCGATAAGCCAGGCCTATGGACCTGCGGGCGAGAGGGCGGGATCAGCAACCCGTGACACTGGCCTCTCATTGGCTACTGGGACTCGCCCCGCCCACGCCCATGGATGGCTCCACAATCCTCCTGCTCTTCTTCCCCCCGTCCCCGACAGCGACCGCAGCCGTGGTTGGTCTGCTCACAAGCCGCAAATCCCGTTCGAACTCGTTATTGGCTGCTTCCTAGCGGCCTGTGTTGATTGATTGCCCGAGCATTTTTCCCTCCCCGCGGTGGGCGGAGCCGGGCAGAGGCGCAACTAAGCAGAGGCGGCGCGGGATGCCTGGAGGCAGGCACGGTACGCGGCCGCGGGCGGGCGTGGGCAGCCGGACATACCCTGGCAGGGAGCAGCAGGTGGCGGCGGTGCAGGGGGCCTGACCCCACCAGCGGGCACTGGCCCATAGCCACGGCCGGGGGGCCATCTAGCTGGAGAGAGAAGGGATAGGTGACCCGATCGGAGCCCAGCCCAGCCGCCCTGAGCGTGGGGCGAGAAACAGCCAGGGGCGTTGAGCTTGGGGAGGAAATCTAGGGAGATCCCCGAGGGGACTTGTGAAGAGGCTTGAAGCGAGGGAGAGCTGGTAGATGTGGGGCTGAATGGAGAAGTCTGTCGTCTGGAGCCCCAAAGAGGTAGGGTGAGCCCTAGGGGTCCGCAGAGGGGGACAGCAGGCTTGAGGCAGGGGAAAGAGAGGGATCTTACATGGGAAGGTGGATCCGTGGCCCGGGGACTGGGGACCCCCGTGACAGCTGGAAGGAGAAGAGAGAGGCGTAGGGCGCGTGGAAGGGCGGAAGAGGGCGGTGGCGCGGCGTGCCCCAGCCTGGATCCCTCGCCTCCCCCAGGTGTCCACACACGCCCCACCGGGCCGCGCGCCCACCTCCCCCGGAGCCCTCGGGGGAGGCGGATGAGGGACTTGCCTGCGGCTCCCTCTGCCTTCAGCTCCTCCATCCGCTCCTGTAGCTGCCGAACGTGCGCCTCCAGATCTCGGTTCCGGGCCTCGGCCTCGCGTAGTTGACTGCGGGGAGGTAAGGACAGTGAGCCCGTCGGGGTCCCGGCGCTAGGGGCTGCGGAGGGTTGTGACGGGCCCCGCGCGCCGGCCCTGACCTGGCGAAACTCTGGTTGGTCGTGCGGATGGCCTCCAGCTCCCGGCTCAGGCTCTGCCGGGAGAGCACCTCCTCCTCCAGGGCCTCCTGGAGCTCCCGCAGCGTCATCTCAGCCGCCACCGCCTGGAAGGTCGCCTCCGGAACTGCCACTTCCGCCTGCCGGTGGGGACGGAGCTCAGGGCGGCCTGTGGCTCCTAGAGCACTCACCACTTGGGCATGGATTCCAGGCCCGGGATTCTCGCTCGTCCTCCACTCCCCACATTTCTCTGGAATCTCCCAGTTCCTGCAGTGGCCCAGGCCCGCTCCTTCCTTACCCCCAGCCCCCTCACTGGTCTCCAACCTTTAATCTGGTTCCCTCCTGTCCATCAAAGCAACCAAAGGGTTATTCCTAAAACACCAACTCAGCTTGGCCATGTCCCTCCTCTGCTCAAAATTTCCGCTCCCCAGTACCTTCAGGGAAGATCTGCTTGGTCTGTCTCCGGCTGGCCTCTCCAGCCTCCCCTCACATCTCATCTAATAGTTTAGTCTTACTAGCCTCCTGTCAGAGGTTCTAACCCACCAGCCGCTCCAAGGCAGAAAAATGTGGCAGTCTGCTTCTGTAAAGATTTACAGCCTGGGGGCAGTTGTATTCTGTCCTGTATAAGTTGGAATCAATTTGACAGCAAGTGTACCCTCCTCTCAGGAGCCCTGGTGGTGCAATGGCACTTGGCTGCAAGTGCTAACAAAAAGGTTGGCAGTCCGAACCCACCCAGTGGCTCCATAGGAGGATAAAGATTAGAGCCAAGAAAGCCCAGCTGGGCAGTTCTGCTCTGTCACAGGGGGTCACCCTCCTCTCACTTTCGAGAACAAACCAGCTGGGTCCTACCTCAAGGCCTTTGCCCTTGAGGTTCTCGACACTGACCACCTGGCACATTTCTTCCCCTGATTGGCTCAGCTCAAAGACAACCTCTTCAGTCCTCCCCCCAATTAAATTAATGCCATCATCTTGCCCTGTTATAATTTCTTCAGAGGGACCATCTCTGCCTGAAGTAATGTCTACTTTTTTTTTTTTTCTGTCTACTTCTATGGAGCCCTCTATAGAGCTCAGCTTCTAACCAAAAGGTTGGCAGTTCAAATCCACCAGCCGCTCCTGGGAAACGCTACAGGGCAGCTCTCGTCTGTCCTATAGGGTCACTTATGAGTTGGAATCAACTTGACAGCAACAGGTTTGGTTTTTATGGCGCAAGCTCCCAGAGGGGTTAGCACTCCATGACACACAGTGCTCCTGGAAGCCCTTGACTTTTCGTCCCTGTCTGTCCCTGACGGACCCTCTTCTCTCACTTACTGTTTCCTCCAGGCTGGGAGCTTCTACGTGTGGCTCAGGCAGTGGCTGGGCCTCCAGCTCCATGGGTGTGGGGCCTGGGCCCTCATCGTCCCTGGGGAAAGGAAGAAAGAGAAGGAGGGAAGGCCAGCCCCATCTGCGAGGCCACCCATCTCCTGGGCTTTGAAGCAGGACTCCCTGGCATGTGCGGATCTGGGCATGGCACAGCCTGACCCCATGGTTTGAGGAGGAGGGGCAGAGTGAAAGGAATAAATTGCCAGGCTGGGGTGACAGGTCCTCTTGTTAGGGACAGGTCTGCCTCTCACATGGTTCCGGGCCCCTGGGGCTGCCCTCTTTGCACCTTCTGCAGGAACCTGGGGCCCTGATGCCCGTGTCCTAGGGTCTGCCTGTCTCATTCTTCACTGTATGACCATTGCCAACCCCTCTCCTCAGGGTCTCAGGACAGTGAGGGGTTTGGACCCAATTGTCTCCACCTAGCTCTGGCCACAAGGAGCCCTGGTGGTAGAATGGTTAGCATGTAGCTTCTAACCGAAAGGTCTGCAGTTCGAACCCATCAGCCGCCCCATAGGAGAAAGATGGGGCAGTCTGCTTCTGTAAAAATTACAGCCTTGGAAATCCTATGGGGCAGTTCTACTCTGTCCTATAGGGTTGCTATGAATCAGAGTCAGCTCAATGGCAGTGGGTTTTTTTGTCGTTGTGTTGTTGTTAGCTCTGGCTACCTCCAAGGATCCCAAGATTGTGACTCTAAATGTCATCATGTCCCCCTCCCACTCAGCTGCTAGGAGGTGAGCAGAGCCTCCCTAGAAGTATGAAATTACAAGTGTATGTCCCAATACTCTTCAAATCTTGAACCGAAACTAACCCCTGAGATCACCTTGTAGCTAAATAACAAATTGGCTCAAAAAATAATGACTATCACCCGTAAGTACTGTGCTCTTTTAAAAAATCACCTATATGAGACCAAATGGTCAACAATTACTTTCAAACAAAGATGAGCAGGTAAGGGGACAGGGAAACTAGATAAATGAAAACAGAACAACCAGAACGGAAATAATGAGAATGTTTACACATTGTGAAGAATGTAACCACTGTCTCTGAACAACTTGTGCAGGAATTGTTGAATGGGAACCTAAATTGCTGTGTAAACTTTCACTGAAAAAATAATAAAATATTATACGTATTTAAAAAAAAAGTGGATGCCCCCTCCAATCTGGCAGTCCCATTCATGGGAAGATGTCTCAAGGACCTAATTACCCTGGACATACACCTGGACCAACCAGCCGGCTGCTCGTCCCAGAGAAGATGGGTTAAATAAATCCTCACCTATCCATTCAACAGAATACCACACAGCAGTTCCAAATTACACTGTAGTTCAGTAATGGTAAAGAAAGCAGTTTGCAATGCAGGCAGTCCCCGGGTTACAACGAGATCCGTTCCTAAGTGTGTCTTTAAGTCGAATTTGTAGGTAAGTCAAACAGGTGCATATGGTTCTTATTTAGCCTTACTTTAGTGCAAGAAAAGGCTCAAAGCCTTTTCACTGATATAAAAGCTGCTCCTGCAGGTGAAGGTGATTGGGATGAATTTGTTGCTAATAGGGGTTGGTTCAGTCATTTCAAAGTGAGGGCAAATTTACATAACATTGAAGGGCAAGTAGGAGTTGTCAGGAAGTCCGACGTTCTGTCATCTGGGGACTTCCTGTACATTCTTCAATAACAAAAGCAGATTGGAAAATAACACGTTCTCGTGGTTGTTTAGTGTATGTGTGTGTGCGTATGTATGTGTGTGTGCGTATGCGTGTACGTGTGTATTGTGTGTGTATGTACGTGTGTGTGTATGTACACATGTACTAGCAGTCATTGCTGAATAATGCATGGCTTTTTTTTTTCTTCATAATGAACAATAATTTATGAACCAAATTCATCTACTATACTAAAAGGTTTTAGGAATGAATATTGAAATCAGCCTGTAATTTTTCATCCAATACCTAAAGCTGCATCCTACACTAAGATAGATTTTCATCAGTCCTGGAGTCATCTGCCTTACTAACCAGAAGGGCCGCTTACTCTTTCAAACTTTTCAGTAAGTGTTCTTGTTCCCTATTCTTGCCCTTAAAATGCACCTGCTTCTTTTTGCTTATGCATATTTTCTGATTTATTTTGTGATAAGCAATCCATTATTTGTGTAATGAATGTTTTTGAAAGATTTTATGATTACATGAGTGATTCAATGAGTTTGTGAGCTTTTATGATTGACTGTAAAATTCTTACTTTCTACGATTTAAGGTCCATGTGGACTGAGAAGCTACAAGATAAAAAAGCTAAAAGTCAAAGGTTGGAAGAATCTGGAAGGCTGAGGCTGTAGCCCTAAAGTTTTAAAGTTGAATCTAAAATATTAAAATACTTATGGTCTGAGATTTTAAGGTCCTACAACTCTGGGCTCTTAAGAGTTCTTGGTCCCGTGGGGTACAGAACTCAAATTCTAGTAAGAAGACCAGACTTAATGGTCTGAGACTGGAGGAACCCTGGAAAGCATGGCCTCTGGATTCTCTATCAGCCCAGAACTAAAACAATTTCCGAGGCCAACTCTTCAGACAGGGATTGGACTGGACTGTAGGACATAAAGTGATACTCATGAGGAGCATGCCTCTTAGCTCAAGTTGATACAAGAGACTAAATGGGCAGCTTCTGTCTGGAGGGGAGATGGGAAGGCAGAGAGGGTTAGGAGCTGGTTGAATGGACATGGGGAATCAGGGGTGGAAAGGAAGAGTGTGCCGTCACAGTATGGGGAGAGCAATTAGAGTCGCAAAACAATGTATAAATTTTTGTACAGGAAAAATTTTTAAAACTTTAAAAAGTCCTTGGTCCCAAGACAATAAGATTCCAGGACTGATCCTGCAATTCTACCCTGCACCAAAAGGCACCCTGCAGGTGCAGTGGTTAAGCCCCTTGCCTGCTAATGGAAAGGTCAGCGGTTTGAACCCACCGGGGGCTCTGCAGGAGAAAAATGTGGGCATCTGCTTTCCGTACAGCCTTGGACACCCTAAGGGGCAGTTCTACTCTGTCCTATACGGTCGCTATGAGTTGGAGTCAGCAACGAGTTTCCTTGTGCCCAGGAGCCAGGGCACAAGGGGCATCTTCTGGACCCCCAGTCCCACCCATTCTCATGAGGCAGCGCAGGACCAGCCTTTACCTGAGGGCCATGCAGGAGTAGGAATAGCCCACGAAAGGCAGGTGGATCCCCAGCGGCAAACCCTCCCGAATGTCTGACAGCGTTTCCTGCACAAAACAAGCACAGAAGTGCCCAGCAGCTGTCAGGGGTGGCCCCCACCCAATCCGATCTGGGCTGAAATGCACTCCCCACCCCAAAAAAAATCCACCCCAACCTGGAACCTATCTAAAGCAGCCCCTCCCATTGTTGTATCCTGTTGCTTTCCTTCAGGGCACCTACCACAGAATAAGCATATACTTCTCTAGACCTGAGGGGATGAAGGCAGGGACCAGGGCTGACTTAGTCATTGCAGTGTCCTCAGCATTGCCCAGCACAAGGGCACTCAAAGTTGAGCAAGCACTCTGGGATAGCTTGTTCAACATTGTGTGAGAGAGACGGTTAAAGGAAGGATTCCGATATGGCCCTTTCCTTCCTCTATCCCATCATCCTCCAGGTCTCAGCTCAGATAGCCTCTTCCAGGAAGCCCTCCCTGACCTACATTCTGGGTCAGGAGCCCTCTTGGACTCCCCAGTCCTAGCCTTGATCTCTCCAGGAGTCACTGTCTGGGAATGTGGCTGTGTACCCCACTGGATTGTGGGTCTAGGCCCCCACTGGCTCCCCAGTACTGACAGAGCATGTGCTCTGGGGGATAAATGCTCTCAGGGCCCCTGGAGGTGGGCACTGTCATTACCCCAACCTTATGGACGAGGGATGCGGGTCCCCTTTGTCGCGAGCAGGGGTTGCAGGTACCTACCCCGCCCCCGCTCACCATGGCAGTGAGCGTGTCCTCCACCACGTCGAAGTTGCACGTGTCGGTAGCGCCCTCAAAGTCTGGCGTAAAGGGGGGCGTGCTTTCGCGGAGTCCATCCCAGTCGAGACCAAAAAAGAAAGGATGCTCCCGGAAGTCACCCGCTCCATCCCGGCCCAGCCGTATCTCCCGGGGACACAGCAGCCGCTGGATGAGGTCTCGAGCCTCCTCGGGGATCCCTGAGTCTGCCAGCGGCAGGGACAGGTGCTCCTGCCCAGAGGTGGAGGGAAAGCGAGAGATGTTAGCCAGGGAGCATGTGCGGAGGGGCATGCGGGCTCCTCCGGCTGGCGCTCACCTTGTAGTGAACGATCTTGCCATACGTCTCAGCCGTGGAGTCGGCGTAGAAGGGCGTCTGCCCGTAGAACATTTCATAGGCGAACACGCCCAGCGCCCACCAGTCACACTCGGGCCCGTAGCTACCCGTCCCAGGCCCGCCGCCCACGGCCTGCAGGATCTCGGGGGACAGGTAGTCCGGGGTGCCCACGGCCACCAGTGACCGCACCTGTGCCACAGGACCAGAGCTGGGATCGAGCCCCACCCCTCCGGGCTCTGGCTCCGCCCCTGCCCTCGAACTCCGCCCCTCCTCTTAACCACGCCCCAAACGCTTAGTTTTTCCGTTTGTCTAGTCTAACCCTGCTCCCGCCACACAGTTACTTCTGCTAGGTTACCTCCTTCAACCTCGGAGTTCGGATACCGCTTCCAGATCTAGTCCCGCCTCCGCTCCGGCTCCGCCCCTGCTCTGGCCCCGCCCCCGCGGTCTATCCCCGTCCATGCACTATAAGCCCTGCCCCTAGCCCAGCACCGCTCCGCCAGAGCCCACTCCTCATTGTGGTCTCAGTTGCCCCGTGGCGGGCGCACCCGCTCACCGTTCCGTCTTCCTGCATCTTCAGGCAGGAGCCGAAATCGGCCAAGCGGATGTGGCCGCAGCGGTCCAGGAGGATGTTGTCCGGCTTGATGTCTCTGCAGACGGTAGGGGAGGGGAGGGAAGGGAAGGATAAGTGCACCTCCCTCCTGCCAACCCGCCCAGACCCCGCCCCTCTAGGCAGTACCTCTTAGGGGCTGTCCTCTCCAGTTCCCACCCCTCCAGGCCCTGACCCCAGGCCGGCCTCATCAGGTCCCGCCCCTGTGGGGATTCCACAACTCTGGACTCTACGCCTCAGGCCCCGCCCCCAGTGGGCCCCAACCAATGAAGTCCCTTTCCAGGTCTCACCACTCTAGGATGCAATACCTTCCCAGGATACAACCTTTGCTGTCTCCTTCCGGGCCCAGCCCTTAAGGCCCCGCCCCCCGTGAGCCCCATCTCCGCCCCTCAGCCCCTGCCTCGCCCACCTGTGCACGTAGCCCAGCCGGTGCACCGAGTCTATGGCCATAACAATCTCGGCCAGGTAAAAGCGCGCCATCTCGGCCGGGATCCGCTCCCCAAACTTGCTCAGCAGCGTTAGCAGGTCCCCGCCCACGTAGTAGTCCATGACCAGGTACTGGGAGGGGGCGTGTCATGGGGGTCAGTAGCCCCTCTAGGCCGCTCGCTGATCACCCGGGACAAAGACTCCCGGAGACGCCCCATCCCAGGACACAGAACCGGCAACACCAGTCCCAAGACAGCCCAAGAGATCTCCCAGGCCAAATCAGACAGCACCCCCCGCCCCCCTCGAAATAAAAAGTTCTCCCCAGATGTCACCGGATAGAGATTCACTTCCCTAGAGACATTCTGGGGAAAAAAGAGACTCCAGATACCCCCAAGGCCCAAAGTATAGATTCCCAGTATCCCTTGCCCAGTGACCCCCACATAGAGACCCTGGAGGGCTATCCCACTCCAGCCAGGTAAGAGACTTCCCCAAGAGAGACATTATTGCACAGAGTTCCCCAGAATCACCCTGGAGAAAGAGCGGTAAGAGACATCTCCCAGCCCACGTAAGGAAAGCCCCTCATTTACCTGAGACACATTCCTACCACACACAGAGACCCCTGCAGGCATTCCCAGGGCAGCTCCCCAATCCTAGACCTTCTTCCCTCTCCCCTCGCCTCGTAATTGGCATCCCGGGGCCCGCGCTCACCAGGTAGTTCTCGTCCTGGAAGGCGAAGTGAAGCTGCGTGATCCAGCGCCGGTCCCCGTTCACCAGCACATCCCTCTCTTCACGAAAACACGACACCTGTGGGGCACCCGGAGGAGCTGAAGCGGGGCGGTGGGAGGCCAGGTTCTCAATGCCCCCACACCCAACCCCGGCCCTCACCTCGCCTCTCTTCAGCATGTCCCACTTATTCATGATCTTCATGGCGTACACCTGGCCGGTCTGCTTCATCTTCACTACCGCTACCTGAAGGCCGAAGCAGGGTGGCGCGGGCGGAGATGGCAGTGGAAGCTTAGGGCCTCGCCCAGGCGGTACTCCACTCCATCCACGAGCAGCTGGGGCCCCGCCCTCAGTCGCCGCGCCCACCTACACCAAGCACCGCCCCCATGCTCTGCCCGCCCAGGTTCTAGCACTCAGCCATTCATCAATTTCTAAGGCCCCGCCCACTGCAAGTCCAATCCGGTCTTTTGCCCGGCGGAGCTCAGCCGCCGCTCAGCGCTCACCTCGCTGAACGCCCCGCGTCCGATCACCTTCAGAATCTCGAAATCATCCCTCTGCAGTCGGACTTCTTTAAGCCTCGCCGCGATGGGCTCCGCTGAGGATGGAGGGCCGAGAACTGAGGGTCACTGGGACGGACACTGGACACCCTCGGTGCCCGCCTCTCCCTGTCTCGGTGCCCCCTCCCTGCCCTTCAGTCTCCCCCTCTCTCTGCCCCTCGCTTTGCCCCGTCTTTGCCTCTATGTCTCTCTCTTTGCTTCTCAATTTCACTTTAGGGACTGTCTCCCACATAGCCACTGTGAGAGGTTTTGGGGACCCCAAACTGCCTTCCCATCGAGATGAGATGCCTGGAAAGTCCTTTTGGGGGCAAGGCATTGAGCCAAAGGGGTGTAGGGTGCAGAGTGGGGTATCAAACACCGGCAGAAGGGGAGGCCCTGAGTAATGGCAAGAGCAGAAAGAAGGCCGCAGTGCTTAGACTTCAGTGGGCTTCAGAACTTCCACCCACCCACCCTCGCCGCCCCAATCCAGTGTAATGGTTTAAATGCCAGCTCCTGGGCCCCACCCCCAGGATTCCGATTTAGTAAATCTTGGGTTATGGCCTGGAACACGCGTTTCCATCCAGTATCTAGGTATAGAGGCAGTGTGGCTCTTGTAACACACTGCAACACTGGGCTTGGGGATGCGGCCAGAGAAGGAATGGGAGAGGGAGACAGAGCCAGCACGGACACTCTCGACCCTCCCAGATGCCAGGAGGGGAAACCAAGGCTGAGAGAGGTGAAGTCACCGGCCCCAGGTCCCACAGCTAGGAATGTTAAACAGGGCAGTGAGGCAGGGGGACAGTGGGAGAGGGATGCCTGGGTTCTGAGGAGGTGGAAGAGGCAGGGAACCTGAGGCAGGATGGAGAGACGGACCAGTACAAGTGGAAATGGGAGAGACCAGGGAGCCTCAGCAGGGAAATAAGAAATAAGGCTGCAGAAATAAGGCGGCAGAGAGGCGCCCTGCAGGGCTAGGGGAGAGTGGGCCAGCAGGGAAGAGCAGGCCAGGCCTGAGGGACGGGGGAGGGAGGAGAGAGCCAAGACATTGAGCCCTTTTAAGGCAGTGGGAACCCAGGCCCCCTCCCCCGCCCGGCGGCCTGCCGGGGGAGGGGCCGCCAGATGCAGGCTCAGGCCACAAAAGGAGCGCTCCTTCCTGGAGAGCCAGACCCTTGCCCCCGCCAGGCCTCAGTTTACCCTGCCAGCAGGACTGCAGCCTCTGCAAAAAGGGAGGCTGGGAGAGTTCCTAAGGCTGGGGAGGTGGGAGAAGATATTTGCAGAGGCTGAGTGGCCTGGCCCTTTGACCTCCACCTTCCCACCTGTGAAGTGGGAGGAGGATGATGGAGAGGAGCCTGCGTGGGATAGAAAGAGCTGGACACAGGCAAGGAGGGAGCAGGAGAGGCCAGGGAGGCAGTAAACAGTGACACACAGAGGCCAAGGACCAAGTGCAAGCCACTAAGGGACAGACAAGTGGAGGGACAGAGTGGCAGGTGTCAGAGAGACAGAAACCAGAGTCCTGTGCTGGGGGGAAGGGGGGCGGACAAGGCAGGAGGCTGAGGTTGCAGCATCTCCCCTCCTGATCCCTGGGCCTGTTTATCTGCCTGGAAGGACCTTGTAAGAGCGATACTAGGGACAGTGGGAAGGTTGGGGGTCCTGAGCTAGCAGGATTAACGGACCAAGGAATCAACTAGTAGGGACCAAGACGTTGAGGCGGGAGGGGGTTGGGATCATGGAACCTATAGAGAAAGTGGGCACACCCAAAGGAACACCAAGTTGGCCCTCCTCAACCCCAGGGGATGGAGGAGATGCTGGGTGGTGCCTGTCTGCAGAGCTGGTTCTCCTCCAGGGCCAGTCTGAGTCACCACACCCCTGTGCCTGGGCACCTGTTGGGGCAGCTGGAGAGGCTGGCGCCGAACACCTGCCCACTGGCTGCGCCCCTGGCAGCTGCCCCACGCTCTCCCTCAGCGCCTGCCCTGAGCTCTGGAAAACCAGAGGGCCCATTCTGCGGGAGGGTCCTAGGAGATGGGGCTGCCAGCATGTCCCCAGGCTTAGATTTGGGGAGGGGGTGCAGGGGACTACAGGAGGCTGTGCCCAGCCCTGTCTGCCCAGCTCCCAAGCCTGTTCTAAGTCATGGTTGCCCTGGTCTCTGGGGTCATGTTGCCCCAGGACCCAGGTTCAAGCTCTGGGTCTCTGAATGGAAGGATCTCCCCATGTCCATCCTGCTCCTGGCCCCCCAAAACCAGACCTCTGTGCCCAGACCCATCTCCTGCCTCTGCCCTGGCCCCTCTGCCTCCCCCCGGTGGTCCACGAAAGCAGGCACTCACCCCACTCCAAGAAGTCGACCACGTACTTGTCCTGGGCCAGGTCGGAGGCGCCCAGCTCCTGGTGGACGCCCAGGAGAAGGTCGAGCAGGGACTCCAGCCCCAGGAAGCTGGGGTCCAGCACCAGTTGCTGGAGCTGCCTCAGCCGCACCTCGGCTGACATGTCAGCCAGCACCCACCATGGCCCCCTCCCCGCGCTGGGGGCTTGGGGTCCTCCCGTCACAGGGCCCAGCAGCCCCTGTCCAGGCCCTGGGGCCCCAGCCGCATGTCTGCCTGTCCCTGGCTGTCCCGGGGCCTCTCTGGCCACTTCTCTCTGCTGCTGAGGCCTCCTCCTCTTCTCTCCACCCCTCAGTCCAGCCCCCCTCCCGCCTCCCAGTCTTAACCCCTCACAAGCCAGCCCCCCCACTCTCTCCTTCCAGGGCCCCTCAGAACCCTTCCGTGTTAGATGGGGGGATGTATGTAGAATTTAAACCCTCACACACACACACCCCAATAAAAACGTGGCACACAGAGGAAAACTGCAGCTGTAACAGCTGTCAAAGATGAGCCCTCCATTCCCTACAGGGGGCCAGTTGAGGCTGAGTGATCCAGGCGCCCCCCAGCCCCAGGGTGAAGGGGAGGAGAAAGGGGTTGGGGCCTGGGAAGGGGGGCCGGGAGGCCAGAGCAGCTTCTCTGGTGACTCAGCCATGGATTCTGACTTTGGGACAGTTAAATTTAGCCCTCCAGCCCTCTGCTTTACACTGACTTTTTCTTTTTTGGCAGGAAGTGGGGAATGGATGGTGAGGGGAGAATCAGGAAGGGAGGCCCTCAGGAGCCAGGACCAGGGGTGACCTGTGGGTCAAAGCCTGGGAGAGGCAAGCGGTGGAGGCAGGCCCCCCAGGCAAAGGAGACCCCAAAATAGCTCCTTGGAGGCTGGCCGGGCAGCCACATTCCTGACCAGGCTGGGATTAGAAACAGAGACATTTCGGGGGGTGGCGGGTGGAGCGGGAAGACACCGCCCCTCAGGCTGCAGCCAGCCAGCCAGGAGGGATTTCATGTTCTTCTTTCCAGGGGTGGACAGTTCTGCAGAGAGAAGCTTGGCCCCAGCAGACCCAGCTAAGATACTAGGGGCCAAAGACTGGTCCTCCGTGCAGCTGAGAGAGACCCTTAGTGCAGGCTCCCCCCCCCCAGAAGCACTTCAGGAGCTGCCTGGGGGAACCCCATGTGGACAGGCACCCTTTTAGCTGTAATAGTTCATTTGGAGTCGGGCATTTAACTTTGAAAACTCTCAACAAGGACTCTCGAGAGGGGATCCTGGCTGCCCTCTGCCCTCTGAGACAGTGGATGGAGGGGGCCTGCTCAGGGCAGGCCAGCTGCTGACCTGGCAGCTGGATGCTGGGGGCAAGTTCCCCCTCCTAAAGGCTTCAGGTTTTCCTGCTATTACAAAGGGGCGGGAGGAGACGGGGGGCGGGGGCAGGACCTGGGCTCATTCTTGGTTAGAGCGGATAGATTCTAGAAGGGCAGCAGAAGCACACACACACACTCCCTCCTCACCTCCATGGAAGGGAACAGACACACACTGGGCCTGGGGCTTTGAAAACGGGAGCTTTAGTATAAATAAGAGGTCCTGGGGGACAGGGAAGGCCCCGAGAGGCGTCCATAATTTAACACTCTTCAGAAAGTACAGACAACAGCAAGGGACGGTGGGGGCCTGGAATGGGACAGCCACGCCCTGCCCTGCCCATGGGGCTGCAGGGGCACGCCACGGACAGCTGGGGCTCAAGTGGGTGGGGACTTCTCCCCAGGAGTGACCAGTCACATGCTGGGGACAGGGATGTAGGTAACACTGATGTCTCAGAGGAAGGGATCATTATACTTGGCAGTGGGTAGGGGCAAGGCTGAGGCCACATGGGCTACTGTATCCCCCATGTCTGGGCCAGTCTGGGGGACCCCCTGCCCCCTGAATTTGTGCAGAGCGGGGGACCGAAGCAGTCCATCCGTCATGGTTAGTCTTGTTAATACGTTGATCGGTGAGGTCAGCAGGGAGGTTACGGCTAGGAGACTGGGGACATGGGGTAGGGACCCTGCCCGCCGTCCACGGCTCACACCACTGTGCCACTGGGGGAGTTGCCGGGCTGGGAGGAGATGCCCTGGGGGAGATGAGGGGGAGACAGGAGGGGTTAGAGACCACTTGGGCTCTGTCAGTCCCCAGGAAGGGGCCAGCTCAGAGTCCCCCACTGCTGCCACCCTGGCCTTGCCCCATATTCCACCCCCAACCCTCAGACTAAGGCTGCTGCTCTAGGCTTGACACTCACATCTCAGCTAGCTTCCCTGGCCTGAAGTCAGCACTTTTAGACAATAATTAAAGTCCTCGGGTGATCCTGAGCAGAGGGGGCAAGGTGGGGAGACGTACGAAGAAAAGGGGGAAGCTGGGGTGTCCTTCTGACTTGGGAGGGGTCCCAAGAGTCTGGAAGGGACAGTCCTACCTCTACCACTGACTTGCTGGGTGACCTGGGCCAACTTCCTTCCCCTGTCTGGGCCTCGGTTTCCTCGTCTGTGAACTAGGGAGATAGAGGGGTCTCCTTCAGGGCTTGCCAGTTCCCCAGAACCCAACACCCTTGCCTCGGAGGCTCTGAGACTGCTCTCAGGTTCTAAGGACCCAGGCCTCTAGGATTCCAAAACCACTCTTCCAAGGAACAAGGCTGGGGCCCCAAGATGTGATGGTCTGGACAGCTGAGCCCAAACCCCCAGGAGCTGAGCCTCCTGAGATCACAGCTCCTGACTTCGCAGGGTGCCAGGCCCAGGGCTTCTCCATCCGTGAGGTTCCTGAACCCTACAGCCACCTTGGGAGGGGGCACATCCACTTGCTGCCCATCTTAAAGGCTCTCTGCTCCAGGTAGTGGGACAGAGGTCAGAGGGGGGTGGCTTGCTGAGGTCACACCACGAGAAGTGCTGGATGGGGCCCTAGGCTCCTACAGCCGTGCCTTCAGCCACAGGCTCGAAGGCTAAGCATCCAAGACCCTGGCTGAGAGCTGGGCCCACAGGTTTGGGCTTGCTCACAGATACATCTTGTTTGGCCTGCAGTATTTTCTGCTTTGTGCGACAAGCGGAGAGACCTGGCCAGACTGGGCCATGATCCTGCCTGATGCCAACTGACTTGCCTTCAGACAGGGCTCTCTAGCCGCCTACAGTCCCCACCACTCCCTGCTGCCCCTTCTACCCAACTCGCTCTCTGCTGACTGATGCCACTGGGTTCTAGAAGCCATCACTCTTAAGATCGGAGAGGCTGGCTTTTCCTCATCCTGTAGGGCTACAATCTGCGACACGGACAAAGCCCTCAGCCCACGTCACCTCTGCATGCCGGGCTCTGGGGGGCCAGTAGGGGACTCACCGCCTTGCCTGGCCGGGCCCAGGTGCAAATGAGGCCCTCCTGGCAGGCGGTGACGATGCAGTCCTCCAGGAAGAGGAGTACTGTCAGGCGCTCCTGGGCAATCTTCTTGCACACCAGTGGCTCCAGCAGCGGCACCTCGTGGATGCGCGGGCACAGCGCGGTGCCCAGCACCTTGGCTGGGTCCAGCCGGCTGCGGGGGGCAGGGCCACTAGGCTTGTCCCCGCTGCCGCTGCCCCCACTACCACCGCGGCTGATGTTGCCCAAGCTGTGATAGCGCTTGTGCTCCTTCTCGGCCCCCCGGTCCCGCCGCTCCTGCAGCGTGAGCGTGGCAAAACGGCCAATGCTGAACGGGGTGCCTGGCTCGGCCGCTGTGCTGGGGCTGCCTGCCTTGCCGCCACCTGCTGGGTGTGGGAGGCTGTTGGAGCGGGAAAGAGAGCGGGGCAGGAGGCCTGGGCCAGGTTCGCTGCCCCGTGAGCTGCTGGCGGCTGGCGGCGTGGTGCCAGGGGTGCCGGGGAGGGTGCGGGTACGGGCCAGGGGCGGGTGTGGGTAAAGCACATCTTCAGTGAGGTCCCACAGGCAGAACTGCGTGTCCTGGCCAGCCGAGCCGAAGCGGTAAGTGATGGAGCCTGCCTTGGGCAGCGGGGAGAGCGGGGCACCCCCGCCCAAGCTTGTGCCTGAAGCCTCTGGCTCCTCCTCCACCTCCTCCTCGCCACTCCGGTCCCCGTCACCACTGGCTGCTGTTGCCGCCTCCTCAGCCCGTGTGGTGTAGGGGTCGAAGGCCACGGCATTGACCCAGGACTTGTGGCCATGGCCACGGGCCACCACACGGCCCTCGGTGAAGGACCACACGGTGACCAGGTCGTCTTCACCACCTGTCACCACGTAGCGCCCATCCGGGCTCCAGCACACGCAGAGCAGGCCCCCAAAGTAGCTCTTCATGAGCCCACGCAGGAGCATGGAGTCGAAGTGGAAGACACGCAGGCAGCCGTCCTGGCTGACGCAGGCCAGGTGCCGGCCGTCAGGTGAGAAGGCAAATTCGTTGAGCGGCCCCTCGCCCACTGCCCATTTGGCCAGCGGGTTGCGAGGCGCCTTGCTCTTGGCAGCGTAGACGGCGAAGCCCTCACCCTGCTTTAGCAGGCTGTACTGGGGTGGGGCTGAGGCGCACGGGTGGCTGACGTTGTACAGGTACAGGTGGCCACTGGCATGCGACGCCAGGAAGAGGCTCTCTGACTCTGGCAGCCACTTCAGGTAGGTCACCTTGGTCTTGTCGATCAGCCGCTGCCAGGGAGACAGGGTGGGGGTTGGGAGGAAGCAATAAGCCCCTGGCAGACCTGGTATCCCCAATAAGGCCCTCAGACCTGGTCCAGCTCACACAGCTGGTGACATGCCCGGCCCAGGCCCTCCTCAGAGAGAAGTTCCCAAACTGAGGGAAGACAGACAGACATCACACATGGAAGTATGGGCTGACTATGAGGTGGCCACAGGGAGCTCTGTGGAGCCTCGATGTCCCTTCCTTGGAAAGGGGACCACCCTACCTTCCAGATTACTGTCTGCTAGCTGTCTAACCCTTTCCACCATCTCTACCACGCCAGGCTTAAGGCAAGAAATGTCATAGAATGTCAGCTCCACAGAGTAAGGGTCTTTGTTTGGTTCACTGTTCTCTCCCCGGCACATAGAACGGTACACGCAGGAGGTGTCTCAAAAATACTTCCTGAATGAATGAATGAATGACAACTCCATCCTTCCAGCTGCGGAGACCAGAAAACTTCTAGGCATTTTTGCTTCTCTTTTCCTCACAACTTGCATCTAATCCTTTAACAAATCAACAAATCCTGTGGGCTCGAACTTCAAACTGTACCCAGAGTCTGACCTTTCTCACACCCTCACTCCAACCACCATCAGTCTGCTCCTGGGTTCCTGCCATGGCCTCCAGCTGGCCTCTCTGTCTCCATGCCTGTGGACTATTCGCCAGGGAGCCTGTTAAAATGTAAGTCAGTAGATGCCACTGCAGCCTTTCTCAACTAGGGTTCCAGAGAGAAAGAAAGCCCTAACACTCTCAGGCATCACTGTATGTAATGAATTAATTTTTTTCTCAGGATCTAGAACGTTCTTGGTTGCCTCTCATCCTTGGGAGAACTGAGGAAATCGTCACGCAAATCATTCCTGTGCTCTAGGGTTCAGAAGAGGAACCTGGGTTGAGAAAGGCTGCTCCAGAGGCTTCCGTCTCTCTAGGAGTAAAAGCCAGTTCTTTCCACGGCCTTCCAGACCCTGCGTGACCTGGCCCTCTTCACCACCCCACTTCCCCTCAACTCTGCCCTAGCCACCTAGCCTTTCTGTTGCCCTCCTTTGGGGCGTTTGTACTAGCTGCTCCCTCTCCTCGCTTTCTTTCGAAAGATAACTTTCCTCACCTCCTTCAGGTCTGTGTTTCAATGTCACCTCCTAGTGAGATCTTTCCTGACCATCCCATTTAAAATTTGCCAAGCACTTCTTCCCAAAGGAGCCCTGGTTGCGCAGTGGTTAAAGCGCCAGATGACAACCGAAGTCGGCGGTTTGAACCCACCAGCCACTCCGCAGGAGAAAAATGTGGCAGTTTGCTTCCATAAGATTTACAGCCTTAGAAACCCTATGGGGCAGATCTACTGTGTCCTATAGGGTTGCTATCAGTCGGAATCAACTTGATGGCAACGGGGTTTTTTTTTTTTTTGGTTTCTAAGGACTTCCTACCCTTGGAGCCCTGGTAGCGCAGTGGTTATGAGGTCGGCTGCTAACCAAAAGGTCAGCAGTTCAAATCCACCAGCCGCTCCTTGGAACCCTTATGGGGCAGTCCTACTCTGTTCTATAGGGTCACTACGAGTCAGAATCAACTCGACGGCAATGTCTTTTCCCTGCTGTATTTTTCTCCCTGGCACTTAAACAACCTTCTGACATATAATAAACTTATTTGACAAGTGTTTGTGCTCCCAGTGAGAATGAAAACTCCATGGAGGCAGGGATTTTTATCTACTTTGCCCACTGTGATGTGATGTCCCCATTGCTTAGAGCAATGTCTGGCACAGAATGAACGCTCAATAAGTATTTTTTGAATGGATGAGCTCATGCATTTTTAATATATACACTCCCTTCAGTCATTCACTCATTCTGAGAATACTTCCAGAACACTGCCTCTGGACCAGAGAGAAAGAGACACAGGCCGAGCACAGTCCCTGCCATGGAGTCCAGCAATAAGATCATTCACTGACATTTCCCCTTGGGCCAAGTCGGCCCAGGACTGAGCATACCCCATGTACAAGTTTACAACAACAATCCTGTGAGGTAGGAAAGAGAATCATCATTTTGCAGAGGAGGACAACTGAGGCTGAGAGGAACAGCCAATAAATGGCGTAGCAGGGATTTGAACCCAAAGGCCACAGAGCATAGAATTTGAAGAGCAATTGTTCTGGAATCACACAAGTCCCAACCATTTACTAGCCTCAGCTCTCTAATCTACAAAATGGACATCACAATTCCTTACCCATCAGTTGATGAGAACTCAGAGTTAGCACAGGGCCCGGGCGCAGTAGGCACAGCTGTCATTATTGTTAGCCATTATCACACTAGCTGCTGTCTATTACCCCACCTCACATATCTGTCAGTCCATGCCTCATCTCTCCTCATCCTGCCCTCTCAGCCAAATGCAGTCCCGTGGCAAACACGGTATATGTGTGCATGTGTGTAGGAGAATGGGAAAAGGGAGCAGTTCTGGGCCCTGGGGACCCACAATCACCTCCTCATTGAATAGCTTGCTGGTGTCCTTCTTGATAAGATCCAGATACTGCACCTGGCCAGCCGAGAACCCCACCAGCAGAGAGATGGTCTCCGTGGCAGCAGTGAACTGGTTGAAGTCGTGGCAGGTGGGCTGGGTGCCCTTATAGATCCGCTTGTCAATTGGCTTGTTGAGGTCAATGGACTTGAGTGATGGGAGAAAAGGGGTTAATGGCTTAAACCACTGAGAAGAAGGAAGAGGGTGTTAAGGTTGGAGAAAACCACAAAGAGGAAACAAGGTTAAATCCCTGAGGGAAGTGGGTACGTAGATGGGTGAGTGTGGAGGGGGGGGACAACCACAGACAGGAAGGGGGCCCCAAATCACAGAGTTCAGAGAAAAACCACACAGGAAGGACCCTCCCCCATGTGGCCACAGTGTCTCCTCAAAGTTGGGTCCACTGCAACCTCAGGGACACCCTTGCTCAGAGTATCCGTTTCCGGAGTCTACACTGTCCCTGAGCTCCCACTTCCTTCGAGTCCTGCTCTGTACTCTCAGCAACTCCCTTGGGCCCTTGTTGTTGTTAGGTGCTTGGGCCCTAGCACCACAATATTCCAGGCCCCCAAAACCTAGGGGTCAACCAGGACTCTAAAGCCCAACATCCCAGGATCCCCTTCCCCTTGGAGTCCCTAAACCTCAGGATCCCCCCACCCCCCAGCCCGCCATCACAGTTCAGGGACCCATTAAACCTCAACATCCCTCCAATTTGAGGAACCTTTATCACTTCTAGGGAGCCCTGGTGGCACAGTGGTTAAGCGTTCAGCTGCTAACTAAAAGGCTGGCAGTTTGAATCCACCAGCTGCTCTTTGGAAACCCTAAGGGGCCATTCTCCTCTGTCCTATAGGGTCACTATGAGCTGGAATTGACTTGACGGTAATGGGTTTGCTTCATTTTGGTTTATCACCTCTGGACTCTCATCAACTGGGGCATCCCCATCACTTCTGGGAACCTCCTTCTCAATTCCAGGGGCCTCATCCCCTCTGGGACCTACATCACTTCAGAGATGACCATCACACCCGAGGATTTCCCCTACAAGGGCGTCATCACCTCCAATTCTCGCCTCAGCTTAGAGAGTCTCATTTCCTCCAGGACCCTCAATACCTCCTGAATCCCAACTACCTTTAGGATTCTATTCACCTTCTGGATCCCTATTACTGCTAAGCCTCCCCTATCACTTCCAGAATTCCCCTCACCTCTGGGCTCCCCAAGTCCCAAGATCCTCCCCCACATCACCTCCAGACCTCTGGGTTCTCCATCACTTCTGAGCCTGCAACCATCTCAGATTCCCCATCATCTGCAGAATGCCTGCACCCCAGAACTGCAGATATCCCACATCATCTCAGATTCACCGTCACCTCCAGAATGCTCACCACCCCAGAATCCCCACGCGTAACCCGAGGGCCCCCAACATCACCTGAAGATTATCCATCATCTCCAGGATGCCAGCACCCCCGGCGCCTCCCATTACCGTTTAGAAGCTTCCATCACCTCCGAGAATCCTATCCCCCCAAGATGTCCATCACATATAGGACGCCCATCTTCGGGACCGATACCAATTCGGGAACCCGCCAGGGTCACCTCAGGGACCCCCATCCTCTCAATACCCAGGGCCCCACGATGAGGGCCGCTCACCCGTTGGCTCCCGCGGCGGCAGCAACCCGGGTAGAAATAAAGCTCGCGGCCCAAGTTGAAGCAGACACGGTCTCCCCCCGCGCCGAGCCCCGCGGGCGTGGCGGGCGGCTCCCCGGACCCGGCGCCGTCGGGCTCTCCGAGC